GATGTAACAAATGTAACCACAATTGTAATCACATTTAGCTTGTGATAATGGTTACAAGGTAACACTTTACAATAAGATTCCATTAACTAACAATGAGCAACAAATTTTTTTTACAGCATTTATTAATCTTTGTTTCCGTTAGTTGCTAAAAATTCCAAGAGTGCTGACATTTCATCAATATCAGCAATGGGACTTTTGTATCACTCTGCTTCTCTCTGAGTTCTAGACAAGCTGTCAGTCTGTATGTTTGGGAAAGTTTGGGATTTTTCAGTGACTTCAGTCCAGGTTATGGTGGCAACAAGTGAGTGTATTTATAAGTGAGTCAGTAGATCATTCATTTATTACTCATCTCTAATTTACTCAAAAACGCTGATTCATTCAGGACCAAAACATGCGTTGAAATTATTTGAACTTACAACCTTACAAGGCTCAGCAGACAAGCAATGTATCCAGGGTAGCAAGTTTTACAAGTTGTACAAACATTTTGGGTAAATATCCAGGCTTTTGTCAGTTGTTCTTTTTAGGTGGAAAAAATATTTTATATCAGAGATGTTCAGGAATACGGTCTTTTTACTGTCTCATGTACCTCTCATTTGGCATGAATCCAAATGTTTCCATGGTTGCGGTATATTATGTGGTATACCATATATATACTCGACCAGGGGCCGTGCCATGATACTTACCCACGTTGCCACTAACATTCTCATTTGTATCTCATAGAAATGCATTTATGAGCACAACTTTTTTTTTAAGTGGAATAAGGGAGTGGACATCTAGTGGTTGAAAAATCGTATATAGCACCTTTAATTAATAAAATAATTTTCAAAATAAAATGTAAATCTAATAATGTATTATTACTTTGCTTTTTTTCCATTATTTAGTTGTCAAAGAAGTGCCAACAGCTATTTAAAACAATAATTATTATTATTATTAATAATAATAATGTTTTCAGCTGCGATACAGAAAAGAGAATTTAGCATTAAGTAATTTGTTGACAAAGGCACTTTTTAGAACCATAAAACATCACATACAACAAAACAGTTTTAAATGAAATAATATAACAGAGAAATCATGCTAAACCAGAGTTAAACTATGGTTATATCAGAAAAAGATAATGTACAATAATAATGAGTATTATCCTTGCAGTCTATCATTGCTGCCTCCAACACGCTGATGTTGGTGTTAAAAAAAGGCCACTTGGGGGAAGGGTGGTGATACTGACGGCCTGCAACCCATGGATGGGGCTGTGGGGAGGCTGTTTTGACATTTTTGCACCTCAGCGTGACATTTTACATGATTTTCTGAATGTGTGTTCCCACCAAGGCTTATTTAACATATAACCAGAGTTACAAAGTATCATATTGGTGTCATGTGTAGCTTTCCTAAGTGAACAATGTGACACAATTTCAGTATTAAAGGTGCCATAGAATGGAAAACTGTATTTTCCTTGGCATTGTTGAATGATAACAGTTCTGTACATGGAAATGGCATACCGTGAGCCTCAAACACCATTGTTTCTGTAGCGTCTGGACCAATCAGACACACCATTTTTCATTTGATTTAACAAATCAATTATTCATTAGATTAACAAACGTTCACAGACCCCTCACCCAATAAACATACTGGGTGCCAAGTTGTCTGTGAACAAGGCCCAGGACCCTGGTTACCATGGCAACCCTGACACCAGATACATTTACGATCTCATGGAATGTGACCAGGGAAAATGTCCCATAGCAAGAGGCAAATGCACAGTAAAGAGAATTTAGCATTAAGTAATTTGTTGACAAAGGCACTTTTTAGAACCATAAAACATCACATACAACAAAACAGTTTTAAATGAAATAATAATAATAATATAAAAGAGAAATCATGCTAAACCAGAGTTAAACTATGGTTATATCAGAAAAAGATAATGTACAATAATAATGAGTATTATCCTTGCAGTCTATCATTGCTGCCTCCAACACGCTGATGTTGGTGTTAAAAAAAGGCCACTTGGGGGAAGGGTGGTGATACTGACGGCCTGCAACCCATGGATGGGGCTGTGGGGAGGCTGTTTTGACATTTTTGCACCTCAGCGTGACATTTTACATGATTTTCTGAATGTGTGTTCCCACCAAGGCTTATTTAACATATAACCAGAGTTACAAAGTATCATATTGGTGTCATGTGTAGCTTTCCTAAGTGAACAATGTGACACACTTTCAGTATTAAAGGTGCCATAGAATGGAAAACTGTATTTTCCTTGGCATTGTTGAATGATAACAGTTCTGTACATGGAAATGGCATACCGTGAGCCTCAAACACCATTGTTTCTGTAGCGTCTGGACCAATCAGACACACCATTTTTCATTTGATTTAACAAATCAATTATTCATTAGATTAACAAACGTTCACAGACCCCTCACCCAATAAACATACTGGGTGCCAAGTTGTCTGTGAACAAGGCCCAGGACCCTGGTTACCATGGCAACCCTGACACCAGATACATTTACGATCTCATGGAATGTGACCAGGGAAAATGTCCCATAGCAAGAGGCAAATGCACAGTAGAAATGGACTTTTCTACTAATTAATTCATAGGAAAACCTTTCTTTGAATGAACACACATATCCTTCAGGTCATTGTGTATGTTGTCTTTGAGATTTTATACTGTTTTATGCAGGCTTATGATGGAAACACTCATTCCTGTCATCTTACATATATGTAACCCTACCATGTTTAGTATATATGAATTAGTCTTCTGATGATCTAAACAAGCGTGTATATTATATGTTGGTACATAGGCAATATATTAGTGTCCTGAGAATCTTTAGTAATTTCGATTCAAGTTCCATATGCAAATTACCATGCTTTCACACAAAGGGTCATAAAAACTCCCCAGAATCTCAAAACTCCCACTTGGGACGTCAGCCTTCTCATTGGACAAGCCCATTTTGAGAGGCGGGAATCTTCGCAGACTTTAAAGGCCTCACATTCAGTGACCCGCACAGAGTCGGTGGTTTGTTTGAATTCTGAGAAGATGTGAGCTACAATGCTCCAGGACATCCTAAGTTTTTGTGCCAGGCCTTCAGCCTCGACTTTTCCACTCATCAAGATTCTCTGACTCA